AATAAATTGGTTAGTCTCTAAGGTGCCACAAGTACTCCCATTCTATTTAATGTTAATCATATCTCAGTGGGTTCGGCTCTGGCAGCTACAGTCAAGTTCAACAGAGTCACTTCTGTTTGTTCTAGATTTAGAGTTCACAGGAACACATGAAACCATAGGCAAACAACACAGACAAATACAAGAGCATCGGTCTTTCAGTAATTTTATTAAAGTTACCAACAAAGCTATAAATGTCACAGCATATACAATTCCTACAGATACGTATCATGAACTAGTTATACCTACAGGCGTACTCACATCCTCCTAGATGGTGTTAGAGTCTGTTGGCCCTCTCATGGATTGACCATCAATATGAGAGTGGTTCCTGCTGGAGTGTCCCATAGGAAGCCCAGTTTCCCTGCTCTGGGCACCCCTTTTTATACTGTGAGCCTGTCTATACCTACACTCTGCGCATGTACATGAAAGACCTTCTCTTTCTTATTGGTTTGTGTCCCCTGGAAACACAAGGGACGCCAAATTCTATAGGCTGGGTAGGTTCCTGTCAACACTGATGGACCACCTTTGTCTGCGGTTAGGGCAGGTGTTAGAGACCATATTTGTTGTTACAGCATTTTCTGATTTAATTTTAATCTTTCCAGCTGTTCTTTCGCAACCTTACCGATTAGTGCCTCTTTCCCATCATCTTGGGTTATTTCTCAGTCATTGTCTTGCGCCATCATTTCTTGTCTCCAAGGCCTAAAAGAGCTAAGCTAGAGTCTTGCAGGCTTCAGGCTACAGGTCTTCCATTTCAGCTTGTCTTACTCCTATCTAATACTTGGTTCTGTCAGGATATGCTTCTACGGGCACAATGTTCTGAAGATTCAGAGCAGGCTGCGCAGTGGGGAGAGGATAATGGTGAAGAAATTTGACAGCATGTGACCTCCAGAAGAAGAAAGGGGAGCGTCCATGTACCAGTAACGCAGATACAGGTAAGCAACCGTTTTCATGTTCTCTCCACAGGTACTAATGCGGAGAGTAGACTAGATGATACATCTGAGGGAAGGGAACAGAAGGAAACTCCGCCGATTGGAAGGCATGAGATGCACTGTCCTAGGGTTAGGGGTTCCACGACCACGGCTCCCAAGAGAAGGAGGCGGGTGGTGATGGTCGGGGACTCTCTCCTCAGGGGGACTGATTCATCTATCGGCCAGCCCGACTGGGAAAACCGAGAAGTCTGCTGCTTGCCAGGAGCTAGGATTCACGATGTGACGGAGAGACTGCCGAGACCCATCAAGCCCTCGGATCGCTACCCCTTCCTGCTTCTGCACGTGGGCACCAATGATACTGCCAAGAATGACCTTGAGTGGATCACTGCGGACTAGGGAAGAAGGATAAAGGAGTTTGAGGCGCAAGTGGTCTTCTCTTCCATCCTGCCCATGGAAGTAAAAGGCCTGGGTAGAGACTGTCGAATCGTGGAAGTCAACGAATGGCTACGCAGGTGGTGTCGGAGAGAAGGCTTTGGATTCTTTGACCATGGGATGGTGTTCCAAGGAGGAGTGCTAGGCAGAGACAGGCTCCACCTAACAAAGAGAGGGAAGAGCATCTTCGCAAGCAGGCTCGCTAACCTAGTGAGGAGGGCTTTAAACTAGGTTTACCGGGGGAAGGAGACCAAAGCCCTGAGGTAAGTGGGGATGTGGGATACCGGGAGGAAGCACGAGCAGGAGAACGCGAAAGGGGAGGGCTCCTGCCTCATACTAAGAAAGCAGGACAAACAGCAAGTTATCTCAAGTTTCTGTACACAAATGCAAGAAGCCTGGGAAACAAGCAGGGAGAACTGGAAGTCCTGGCACAGTCAAGGAATTATGATGTGATTGGAATAACAGAGACTTGGTGGGATAACTCTCATGACTGGAGTACTGTCATGGATGGATATAAACTGTTCAGGAAGGACAGGCAGAGCAGAAAAGGTGGGGGAGTTGCACTGTATGTAAGGGAGCAGTATGATGGCTCAGAGCTCAAGTATGAAACTGCAGAAAAACCTGAGTGTCTCTGGATTAAGTTTAGAAGTGTGAGCAACAAGGGTGATGTCGTGGTGGGAGTCTGCTATAGACCACCGGACCAGGGGGATGAGGTGGACGAGGCTTTCTTCTGGCAACTAACAGAAGTTACAAGATCTCAGGCCCTGGTTCTCATGGGAGACTTCAATCACCCTGATATCTGCTGGGAGAGCAATACAGTGGTGCACAGACAATCCAGGAAGTTTTTGGAAAGGGTAGGGGACAATTTCCTGGTGCAAGTGCTGGAGGAACCAACTAGGGGCAGAGCTCTTCTTGACCTGCTGCTCACAAACCGGGAAGAATTAGTAGGGGAAGCAAAAGTGGATGGGAACCTGGGAGGCAGTGACCATGAGATGGTCAAGTTCAGGATCCTGACACAGGGAAGAAAGGAGAGCAGCAGAACATGGACCCTGGACTTCAGAAAAGCAGACTTTGACTCCCTGAGGGAACTGATGCCCAGGATCCCCTGGGACAATAATATGAGGGGGAAAGGAGTCCAGGAGAGCTGGCTGTATTTTAAAGAATCCTTATTTGCAAATGAATTCCAATTCAGCAGTCAGAGTCCAGCGAGAGACTGCTGAATTGGAATTCATTTGCAAATTGGATACAATTAACTTAGGCTTGAATAGAGACTGGGAGTCATTATGCAAGGTAACCTATTTCCCCTTGTTTTTTCCTACCCCCTTCGCCCCCCAACTTCCCTCCCCCCCATTCCTCAGACGTTCTTGTTAAACCTTGGATTTGTGCTGGAAATGGTCCACCTTGATTATCATACACATTGTAAGGAGAGTGATCACTTTAGATAAGCTATTACCAGGAGGAGAGTGGGGTGGGCGAAGAAAACCGTTTGAAGTGATAAACACCCATTTTTTCATGGTCTGTGTGTATAAAAACATCCTCACTGCATTTTCCACTTTTATGCATCTAATAGTATTAATGTGACCCTGTCACAGTCCAAGGTTCAACAGTGTTAAAGAAGATTTTGGGGTTTGGTATCCAGTGTACTTTTGATCCACTGATTTCTGGTCCCACATATCTATTGTTTACCAGGCATGATCTTAATACAGAGCTTGAGTGATATCTGGAGGCCTGTTTGTTTGGACAAATTCAATCTCGGTCTCTTTCTCTCTTTTGCATCATTCCCAATCAACATTTATATTTATATGTGACTAGAGATGTCATCAACTTTTACTCTTTCCAGCTGACCTTAACATTCAGGTAAACTTGTAGATCCAGTTATTGAAACAGCTCCCCCACACCCTATAACTCTGCTGGTGCCCCTCAGCCCTGCAGTCCCCAGTGAATTACCTGAAGGACCTGGACCTCATGAAAATGAGTGAGGAACTGGGCATCCTAATCTGTTGGGTGACTTGAAGTTGGCAGTCTGCGCACACAAACCCCTTTGGCTGCAGTGCTGTCAGTACAGGAAGAGAGGAGATTTGGCAGGTTCTGGTAGATCAAACTCTCTCAGGACAAATTAAAAATGGCCCCAACCCGACTTTCACTCACAGCACCAGAGTGTGACAATTAGTGCTCAGACTACAAAGCAACAGAACTGCAGTTGTCAGTGGAACAAGGGGTGACATTGCACATTGTGGCATCTAAGCAGTATGTTATTTTTTTCTTGCAGGCTCAGAGCAATTCTCTGAAGGAAGAAAAACTCCCATGGATTCCATTGGGTGTCTGCCCTATTTCTGAGGGGCAGAAATGTGCTTTTGGAATTTTAATAATGAAAGAAGGGAAGGGAGATGGGGAAGGACAAATTGAGAGAGAGAGGGAGAGAGAGAGAGAGAGAGAATTATTTTCTCTTAGGACCAAAGATGGATCTGGAGTTTTGGAGGGAACAGGTTGCCTTGGGTTGGAGATTTGGCTTCCTCCCCCATTGGCTCTAGGCAAGGGAAGGAAGGCGGTATGTGGAAAGAGACACTTGGAGCAGTGTACCGATGTATTCACAGGACACACAAACGCACACAAGAACAACCCCGGAGACAGACAAGGCTCTGACTGACAAAAGCTAACAGCGCAACCACACAAACGACAAATGCTCCCAACAAAAGATACAAACACATGAGGAGGAAGAGGATACATGCAAGAGTCTCACACCCACAAAACAGAAACATACACACAAGATTCATTAAACCAAGGGATTCAAACACCCACAACCCATAGCCATGCAGAAATCCAAACATGAGGTAAGGAAAGATGTGATTCACAAAAGCAAGAATTTGGCTTTTCCCGTTTTTGGCAATGAATAACACTTGAAAGGTGCTAATACTACAATGGCTAGTAGTTGTCAATAGTGAGGATTAAAACACACTGGTGTGAACTGTGGTTCTACTGGTACAGCTGAATCCAGGCTAGGGCTTGCACTGGCAATCGGCACAAAAACTGCTTTCTCTCTCTCCATCCATCTATCCCCACACACCCATCTCTCTCTGTCTACTTATATTTGTGCCCATCCTGTTCCAGGAATCTTTGAATATGACAAGCCATTTCCAGCACACTCCTTAAGTATTCAGAGGCGTATGTTTGTGCTGTCACCAATGTAACACAACCAGATAGTGATCACTTTGCAGGTATCAGGCTTTATGGATTTTAAGGAGCACAGGGAACTCCAGAAAGGAGCAAAATATTGCAGTGTCCAGTAACACTTAACCATGATGAGTATGAGGATTCCTCATTGTTAGACTCAATGCACAACACCAGAAGTGTGAAATTGATGGATATTTCTTATTTAAACAACTGTTTTTTAGATGGCCACTATGTGGCAGCAGGAAGTACAAAATAAGTAAGGGGTGGTGATATTGTGTAATGGGCACTAGGGGCGGCAGAGGATGGGGCCGGGGAAGGGGCACCTATACTGTATAATGGGCCCTAGGGGGCAGCGGGGGGGGGGGGGGGAAGAGGTGGCTACACTGTTTAATGGGCACTAGGGGAAGCAGAGAGAGGGGATGGGCACTAGGAGCAGTAGAGGATCGATGGTGAGGTTATATTGTATAGACTAGGCGTAGGGATGGAAACACCTAAACAATCTAACCAGTGTTCAGAGGCTGGTGAGGAGCCGGGTGCCATGACTGGTGTGTTAGTGACAGAGTGGGCTTAGGGGAAACAGCAGGGTCCTGTGGCTGCCCTCTATACCCTGAGTGGAAGCAACATCCGCTCCTCATAGTACACAGGGTGCCCCTGGCAGCAACTGATGAGAATTCTCGAGGAAAGGTATGTCCCGGTATAGGAGCAGGTCGACAAGTTGTATATGCAGACAGTGATGGTGAAGGAAACTTTGCTCCAGAGCAGGCCACTTGGGAAGGGTGTCCCACCCCCAAAGCAGACATTGTTGATGGGCCGGATGGGCGCGTGGATGAAGGTGTTGATCAGCTTCCCATAGATTCTCCGTCTCCTCATCATCATGCTGCAGTAGGCTCTGGGATTGGGGGCTGGGGTCCGTGGATTGTTCACATGGTGCCTAATGAACAGTCTGTTCTGCGTGACACATGGCTGCCCACCAGCCAGAGCCAGGCAGGCCACCAGCAAGACAAGGGGCAGCAGGAGCATGGGGCGGGGTCCCCTCAGAACCAGGGCTGTGTCTGTCACTAGATCAACCTGCAGTAGGGAGAGGAGGGATGGATGGAGACAGTGTGGAGTGGGGATCTGCCTCCTCCATAGCATCTCCTGGGCTCAACCTCGCCCCACCCCACCCCTCCTGATATCCCTACCAATCCCACTCTGCTCAGAGCCCCTCCCATTCTCCCAGCCCCATTGTGCTGAGGCCTTCTCAGAACCTGGCTCATCGGGGGCTCCATTGTGCCAGGTGCTGCCCTGACCTCCACCGAGATCGGGGCCTGCTCCTCTAACCCACTGTTCCCCATTCCCCTCCCAGAGCCAGGGATAGAACCCAGGTGTTTGGTGTCTCAGACTGTGACCGGGGGGACCCACGCCCCTTGTGCCAGGTGCTGCAAAGATTCCAACTGAAATCATCTCCCGCCTCCTCTAACCCTCTGTTCTCCACCCAGAGGTGGAGAGTGAACCCAAGAGTCCTGACTCCCAGCTCCCCTGCTGTAACCACTAGAACAGTGATACTCAGACCTCAGTAGCTGAGGAGCCAGATTAGTGATCAACATTACCCAAATGAGACACAGTGTGAATTCATTGTTTCATTTACTATAGTACTAGTCATATTTAAAAATGTGACAGGCAAATATTTAGTTTAGATAGAGAGATAGATAGATTAAATACTGCCTGTTATACTGTTATATATATATATATATATATATATATATATATATATATAAAATTCTCACAGCAAATAAGTTAATAATAATAACTTAGTGCAAGTTGATAATTTAATTGGTTAATAACACAGTAAAAGCCTCCTGACTGGTTATTAACTGAGACGGGTTAATAATTATGTAAGCAGAGTCAGAACAAGCTCCACCCTGACATCTGGTGGTGAGGTGTGGCAAGTTGTGGAAAAGAACTTCAGGGGCCGATCTCATTTGTATAGGCACACCCACCCCGCCTAGAATGAGGGCATAGCTGCCCAAATGGTCACTTTGACTGCTGTGGGATCCCCAAAAGTCTCTGTCCCTGGTCAGGGCAGCCCCAGAGTTCGAAAGTTCATCTGCAGAGTTTTACCTCCCAACCTGGGTGGAGATTGGGGGGAGCGGGTTAAGGGGCACCTTATGTGGTCCAAAGCTGATGGCCTCACCTCTCCATGCAACTCCGCTCTGCCAGCCGCCCCATGACTTCCATCATAACAAAAGGCCAAGTACAGTTCCACTGTCCTTGATTCCCATAGTCAGGGTAATAACAATTTATTCTTCCTGCCCCAATAACAGAGACACTGGGGATCCCACAGCAGCCAAAGTGACCATTTGGGCAGCTATGCTCTCATTCTAGGCAGGGTGGGTGTGCCTATGCAAATGAGATAGGCCCCTGAAGTTCTTTTCCACAACTTGCCACACCTCACCACCAGATGTCAGTTAAATCACACTGTGTTTTCATATCATGTGCTGCAAAGAGCTGCAGGAGACACATTAAAGAGCCACTTGTGGCTCGCGACCTGCAGTCTGAGTATCGTTGAACTAGCTCATGCTGCCTCCCAGAAGTAAACCCTGCAGTTGCAGCCCCATGTGACACTGTTCTCTGCTCTCTCCCAGCTGGTGGAATCTCCTGCAACTTACCCAAGTCCTTGTTCCTTTGCTGTCGTCAGAATGATGGATCCCAGCCTCTGCTGAGTTGAAACTCACCCATATCCTCCATCCTGTCTTGGAGCACGTAATATAGAGCCCAGCCAGACATGAAGCAGGAGGAGTGGGAGGGGAAATCCAGTAAGCTATTGGGTAAGGACGATTTTCTGATATCTGTCCATTAAAATCAGTGGCCCAGCAGGTAGGGCGTGGGTGAGGAACAAACAGTACATGTCCTGCTAGAGACCTGGACTCCACAAAGACATCTAAGGGTGTGTCTACCCAGCAAGCACAGGTGCGGTTGTAGGTTGGGTGAGTGTGGCAGGTGGTACAGACTTTTCCGTGGGGTAGCTGCCCCAGTACCAGCCCTCCAGGGACTCTGTTACAAATTCTGGTCACCAGCCTGTGCTGCTGTCCTGGCCACCATGTCCCCTCCGCTGTTGTTTCCCAGGCTAGCTAGATTAAAGCCAGGGTAGGAACGCCCACCTATGCTATACTCACACCTTCATTTGCTGTGCAGATGGACCTTGAGTCCGGACCCCTTCCTAATCCAGTTCTAGCCTGGAAACTCCTAGCTCTGCCAGTGTCCCACAGTCCTGAGCTGCAGCCCCTGCTGTCTCAGCCGTGGGCTCTTTGGCAGTAATTTAGTTGGAATATATAGACCCAGAGAGTTAATGGTGTGACTGTGACCCTGTCACTGTCCAAGATTAAACAATGTTAAACAAGGTTCGGGGTTTGGTATCCAGAGCCCTTGGCCTGCTCAGTCCCATGGCAAACACACTGTTAACAATCCTTTCCACTTTTCATTAAAGATACAGAAAAGCAGGAAAAGCAGATCAAGCATTTGAACTGTCAAGTGTTAAGGCTTTTATTTTAACTGCTTCCCTTGTTCCCTTTCCCTGTGGTTGGGAGAGGTTTCTGAAGGAAACCATTCTGTGTGACAGTCCCATAAATAGTATTAAAGATGGTAATAACTGTCCCAGGGGACAAAGAGAAGCTTTTATCTGAGATGGGCTGGAGCTGTTGTTGCTGTTGTATTTACAGTGCAGTCCTGTTTCCCAGAAGACAAAACACGACAGACACACACACAAAAGGGAAAGAGAAGAATGGCAAAGAGAGAAAATGCAGTCCCTGTCTCCGGTGTGACTCTCCCTTGCAGCCTCAGTGCTGGAAAAATCCAGGCCTGGTTTACGATCTTACCAACCGCTCTGAGGTGTTCAGGGCACTGCTTTTAAGGGCCTCTTTGATCACAGCCTTACAGCTGTGCTGTGAAATATTCAGTCTTGGCAGGCTAAACCAAATACTTATTAGATGGACAGAAAAAGGTAGATAAGAGTAAAAATATGCTGGGAAGGAAAAAGGACACACGGAGCAGTGGGGAGGCAAACTCCCCCACCCCAGAATTTAGCTGGAACCAGTGGAGGGGGCCATGTCACCTGGGTCTCTCTCTGGCCCAGTCTGGTCAGGACGTCTCTTGGGATTAAGATGAAGGTGGCCCAGGGGTGTCGTGCTGGATCCTGTGCTCCCAGGAGGTGGCCAGGGTGGCAGCCATGTTGATAATGCTCACTCTTTCCCCTTCGTTCAGTCATGTTGCGTTCACTTCCGCTCCTCTGTCAGTTTTTCACCCCCCTTTTTTTGAGAGCACAAAAGTTTAGGAAATCCTCAGAAAAGGAGGAGTTAGACCTAATTTCCAGTGAGGCCTAATTTCCCACACACCAATTTTGGTCTGTTGATTTCCGGTCCCACATTTTTTTTGTTTACCAGGCAGGATCTTACTACAGGCCTTGAGTGATATCATGGGGCCTGTCTGTTTGGACTAATTCAGTCTCACTCTCACTTGTGCACCTTTCCCCATCCACATTTCTTGCTATTTGTAATTGGAGATTTTGTCAAATTTTACTCTTTCCGGTTGACCTTAAATTTCAGGTAAATTTGTAGGCCTAATTATTACAACAGCTCCCGAACCTCCACAGTTCTGCCGGTGAGCCTCAGACCCCAGCCAAATGTAAGATACCTTTAGGACCTGGATGCCATGAAAATTATTGAGAAACTGGGTGTCCTAATCACTTGAATGACTTGAAAGGGGGAGTCAGAGCACACGAACCCCTCGGGCTGCATTGCTATCAGGACAGGAAAAGAGGATAGTAGCCAGCTTCACCTGGATCAAATTCTGCCAGCAAAAATTATTAATGGCCCCAACCAGACTTCAACTCGCAATGCTTGATGGTGAAGATTAGTGCTCTGACCCCTCCGCAGCAGAACTGCAGTGGCCAGTGGACCAGCATGAAAGGGGTGACACGTGATGACATTGCACCACCCAGCACTGCTACTTTCTTTGTTGGTCAAAGGATGGGTTTCTCACCTAGTACGTATGCAATTATTGGTTCAAAGCCCACAAGAGCCACACTTTGACAATGACTCTGTTTCATTCTGTTCCTCTTGTGCAGAGATCGGGGGTGGCACCTGGACTGATCTGGCCTTCAGCAATGATTTTTGGGATGCCACAGGCCAGGGTCCCTCCAGCTCAGTTTCTGACACTAGCCTGTCCCAGTTGCTTCAGAGGAAGTAATGTTGCAAAAGAATTATAAAAACAAACTTGCTCAGAGAGAAAGTTTTTCCTGACCTTCCTCAGTTAGTGAATGGCTTAGGCCCTGAAGCATGAAGATTTATAACTGTTGTGTCAGTATCAATTTTGGGAAGGGAGTGGGGCCTAGTGGTTTAGCTCAAGGAAAATGGGAATAAGGACTCTTGGTTTCTATCCCTAACCTGGCAAAGGAGTGGGGTCCATTGGATTAGAACAGGGCAGATGAAAACTCAGGTCTCCTGGGTTTTTTCCTCCTGCTTTTGGAGGGGAAAGGGGTTTAGTGGTTAGAGCAGGGCCAGCAGTAGCAGTCAGGACTCCAAGATTCTATTTCCAAAACTAGGGAAAAGGTTGTTAGTGGCCTTGAAATCACAAGACAGCCTCACTGAAAAACACAACACATTTCCAGCACAGTCCTTAAGTGTTCAAAGGCTTATGTTCTTCTCCCTAGTTGTGACACAACAAGCCAGGGATTGCTATGCAGACAGGGGGAAATATTTTAAAAGAAAATAATGACCAATAACACTTAATAATAATGAATATGAGGATTCTCCATTATGAGACTAACAAGAAAATACCAAAACTGTGAAACTGAATGATATTTCTAAAAGGATTCGTTTTAGATGTCAACTATGTGGCAGCAAGTAGGACAAGATAGTAAAGTGAGGGGTGGGAAAGGGGCAGCTATACTGTATCATGGGCACTAGGGTGCAGCAGAGGGCGGAGGTGGGGAGGGGGGCTATACTGTATAATGGGCACTACGGTGTAGAGAGGGTGGGGGTGGGAAAGGGGCGGCTATACTGTATCATGGGCACTAGGGGGCAGCAGAGGGTGGGGGTGGGGAGGGGCGGCTATACTGTATAAGGGGCAGTAGGGGCAGCAGAGGGGGGGGTGGTGAAGGGGCAGCTATACTGTATAATGGGCACTAGGGGCAGCAGAGGTTGGGGGTGGGGAAGGGGCGGCTATACTGTATAAGGGGCAGTAGGGGCAGCAGAGGGCGGGGGTGGTGAAGGGGCAGCTATACTGTATAAGGGGCACTAGGGGCAGCAGAGGTTGGGGGGTGGGGAAGGGGCGGCTATACTGTATAAGGGGCAGTAGGGGCAGCAGAGGGCGGGGGTGGTGAAGGGGCAGCTATACTGTATAATGGGCACTAGGGGCAGCAGAGGGTGGGGAAGGGGCGGCTATACTGTATAAGGGGCAGTAGGGGCAGCAGAGGGCTGGGGTGGGGAAGGAGCGGCTATACTGTATAATGGGCACTAGGGTGCAGCAGAGGGTGGGGGGGTGCAAGCACCCAGACAATCTGACCAGAGTTCAGAGGTAGATGAGGAGTCGGATGCCATTGCTCGTGTGGGAGGGACAGAGCATGGTTAGAGGAAGCATCAGGGTCCCCTGCCTGTCCAAGCTGGGCCCTACATCTATCCCACAAGGAGCACAGGGAGCCCTTTACAGCAGCGAATGACAATTTTCTGGGACATCGGTGTCCCTGTGTAAGCATGGATCGGTGGGTTGTATCGGCATTGGGTGGTGGGGAAGACAGCTTTGCTCCTGTGCAACCCACCCGTGTTGGGTATCCCTCCACCAAAGCAGATGTTGTTGACAATTGGGATGGGCGCGTGGATGAAGGGGGTGAGAATCTTCCCATAAATTCCTTGTTTCTTCATCATTGTGTTGTCGTAGGTTCTGGGGTTTTGGGCTGCGGTCCGTGGATAGTCCACCTGGCTCTTATTGAATATTCTGTTCTGCATGGCACATGGCTGCCCACTGGCCACTAGCGCATGCTGCCTCAGTTGCAATTGAGCCTGCAGTTGCAGCCCCATGTGACACTGCACTCTCCTCTCTCCCAGCTGGTGGAATCTCCCGCAAATTACCCAAGCCCTTGTTCTTTCGCTGTCGTCACAGCAATGGATCCAGGCCTCTGTGGAGCTGAACCTCACCCTGATCCTCCTGCCCTTCTTGGCATGGTTTATATAAAGCCCAGCCAGGTATGGAGGTGAAGGATTGGGAAGGGAAATCCAGGAAGCCATTGTGTAAGCACGATTTCCCTGTATCTGGCATTTAAAAGCAGTGGCCCAGCAGGCAGGGCGTTGGTGATGAACAAGCAGCAGATGTCCTGGCAGAGACCTGAGCTCCACAGAAACATCTAGAGTGTGATTGTAGTGTTGGTAGATGTAGCCGGGGTGATTTAACCTAGCTAGTAGGGGCAATAATACCAGGTAACATAGACTTCACCCCAGGGAAGCTGCCCCTGTGCCAGCCCACCAGGGATCCTGGGTACCTACTCTTCTTGCCAGCCTGTGCTGAAGTCCAGGCCAGCATGTCCTCACTGCTGTTGTTTCACATGCTAGCTAGATTAACACTACCACAGGATCGCGCACGCATGCTGCAATCCCACCTTTGTTTGCTGTGTAGACTCACTCTGAGTCCTGACCCCCTGACACCTTCCCAATCCAGTACTAGCCTAGAAACTCACAGCTCTGCCGGTCCTGACCCGCAGCCCCTGCTATCCCAGCCCTGGGCTGTGTTGCAGTACATTAGGTGGAATATATAGAGTCAAAGAATCAATGGTGTTAACCTGGCCCTGTCACTGTCCAAGATTCAACCGTGTTAAACAAGGTTCGGGGTTTGGTATCCAGAGCCCTCGGTCTGCTCAGTCCCATGGCAAACACACCGTTAACAATATTTTCCACCTCTTATTAAAGACAGAAAAGAAGGAAAAACACCTCAAACATTGGAAATGTAAAGTATAAAGGCTTTTATTTTAATGGCATCCCTTGTTTTCTTTTTGGTTAGTTGAGAGAGTTTTTAGAAGGACGCCCTCCCTGTGTGACAGTCTCATAAATGGTATTAAAGATGGTAATAACTGTCCTTTGGAGAAAAAGGGAAGAAGTTAGTTGTGATGGGCTGGAGCTGTCATTGTTACAGTTCCATCCTGTCTCCTAGAAGACAAAACACAACAGACACACACACGAGAGGGGAAAGAGAAGAATGACAAAGAGAGAAAACGCAGCTTCTGTCTCTGGTGTGACTCTCCCTTGCATTCTCACAGCTGGAGAAACACAGACACGGAATACAATATTACTAGATGTTCTGAGACTCAGCAACTTGTACTAGCCTGGGGGTGTTCAGGGCATTGCTTTTAGCTGCCTCTTTGATCATAGGGCCACAGCCGTGTTGTGAAATATCCAGTTTTAGCTGGTTAGAACAGACTTTTGTTAGACAGAAGGAAAAAGGAGAAGGACAGGAAAGGCGAAAAATAAGTTGGGAAGGAAAAAGGCACATGATGGGGTGGGGAGACAAACTCTCCCATCCCTGGGGTAGCTGCAATTTAGCCATAGCTGGTGGAAGTGGCTATGTCATTTGGGTCCCCCTGTCTCTTGGGATTAGGATGAAGGAGGCCTAGGGGTGGCATGCTGTATACTGTGTTCCCAGGGGATAGCCATGATGATAATGATCGCTCCTTCCCCTGAGTTTAGTCAGAAAATTTTGTGTTTGCTTCCTTTCCTCTATAAATTTTTCTCCCATGCTCCCTGTCCTTTTTTGAGACCCCCAAAGGAAGTGATGGCTGGAATACCCCTCCCTTCATTATAGAAGTCACCAGTTAGGCCTAATTTCCCACACATGATTTTTGATAAATTGATTTCTGGTCCCATGCTTCTCTTGTTTACCAGGGAAGATTTTTACACAGGTTTTAAGTACAATCAGGGGGTCTGACTGTTTGGAGTAATTCAGTCTCTGTCTCACTTTTGTATCTTTCCTTATCAACATTTATTGCTATGTGTGACTGGAGATTTCATCAACTTTTATACTTTCCAGTTGATCTTAAAATTCAGGTAAACTTGTAGGCCCAGTTATTACAACAGCTCCCCCACATCCCACAGCTCTGCCAGTGCCCCGTCAACCTGCAGCCAAATGTAAGGCATCTGAAGGTCATGAAAATTACTGAGGACCTGGGCGTCCTAATTGCTTGGGTGATTTGAAAGTGGCAGTCCGAGCACATGCACCTGTTGGGCTGCAGTGCCGTCAGTACAGGAAGAGAGAATAGTAGCCAGCTTGAGGTAGATCAAACTCTCCGAGGACAAATTTAAAATGGCCACAACCTGACTTTCACTCACCCCTCCAGATTGTGGCAATTAGTGCTCTGATCCCCGAGCAGCAGAACTGCAGTGGTCAGCGGAACAGCAGGACAAGGGGTGATGTGTGATAACAGTGCACATTGTGACAACTAACTGCTACGTTACTCTTTCCCGGCAGGATAAGAGTGATTCTCTGAAGGAAGACGACCTCCCACTGGATGCCATTGGGTGTCTACCTGTCAGGGTTCCCTCCCCACTGTGAACGATGGGGTACAGATGTGGGGACCTGCATGAAAGACCCCCTAGGCTTATTTCTACCAGCTTAGGTTAAAAACTTCTCCAAGGCACAAATCCTTTCCTTATCCTTGGACGGTATTGCTGCCACCACCAAGTCATTTAGACAAAGATGCAGGAAAGACTACTTGGAGTCCCTATTTCCCCAAAATATTCCCCCAAGCCCCTTCACCCCCTTTCCTGGGGAGGCTTGAGAATAATATACCAACCAATTGCCTTTAATAAAAGTACAGACCAGACCCTTTATGTTTAGGACAGTAAAATCAATCAGGTTCTTAAAAGAAGAACTTTATTATAAAAAAGTAAAAGAAGCACCTCTCTAAAAATCAGGATGGAAAGTAATTTTACAGGGTAATAAAAAGATTTAAAAACACAGAGGATTCCCTTCTAGGCTCAACTTCAAAGTTACAAAAACAGGAATAAACCTCCCTCTTAGCACAGAGAAAATTCACAAGCTAAAACAAAAGATAATCGAATACATTTCCTTCTAATTCTAATACATTTGAATACAATTTCTGTAATCTGAAATGTATCATTTCAGTAGGAACTGGGTTACCTGCTTGGTCTCTCTCTATCCAGAGGGAACAAACAAAGAGAGCCCAAACAACCCCACCCCAGATCTGAAAGTATCTTCTTTCCTTATTGGTTTTTTATGCAGGTGCCAACCAGGTTATTTGAGCTTCTTAACCCCTTACAGGTAAAGGAGGGATTTTATGCTACGCTTAGCTGTATGCTTATGACACTGCCATATCTCTGAGGAGAAGAAATGTGTTCTTGGAATTTCAGCAATGAAAGAAGGAAAGAGAGATGGGGAAGGACAAACAGGGAGAAAGAGATTGATAAATGAGTGATGTACATTATTTTCTTTTCTCTTAGCACCTAATAAGGGCCTGGAGTTTTGGAGGGAACAGACTGCAGTGGGTTGCAATTTGGCTTCCTCTCCCATTGGCTCTAGGCAAGGGAAGGAAGGCAGTATGTGGAAAGAGACAGTCAGAGGAATGTACCAAGGTATTCACAGGACACAAACACACACAAGAAACAACCCTGGAGAAAGACAAGGCTCCGACTGATGAAAGCAAAAGGCACAACCACACAAAAGACAAATTTTCTCAACAAATGATACAAACACCCATGAGGAGGAAAAGGAATCATAGAATCATAGAATATCAGGGTTGGAAGGGACCTCAGGAGGTCATCTAGTCCAACCCTCTGCTCAAAGCAGGACCAATCCCCAATTAAATCATCCCAGCCAGGGCTTTGTCAAGTCTGACCTTAAAAACTTCTAAGGAAGGAGATTCGACCACCTCCCTAGGTAACGCATTCCCGTGTTTCACCACCCTCCTCCTGAAAAAGTTTTTCCTAATATCCAACCTAAACCTCCCCCACTGCAACTTGAGACCATTACTCCTTGTCCTGTCCTCTTCTGCCACTGAGAATAGTCTAGAACCATCCTCTTTGGAACCACCTCTCAGGTAGTTGAAAGCAGCTATCAAATCCCCCCTCATTCTTCTCTTCTGCAGACTAAACAATCCCAGTTCCCTCAGCCTCTCCTCATAACTCATGTGTTCCAGACCCCTAATCATTTTTGTTGCCCTTCGCTGGACTCTCTCCAATTTATCCACATCCTTCTTGTAGTGTGGGGCCCAAAACTGGACACAGTACCCCAGATGAGGCCTCACCAATGTCAAATAGAGGGGAACGATCACATCCCTTGATCTGCTGGCAATGCCCCTACTTATACATCCCAAAATGCCATTGGTCTTCTTGGCAACAAGGGCACACTGTTGACTCATATCCAGCTTCTTGTCCACTGTCACCTCTAGGTCCTAGGAGACATGCAAGAGGCTCACATGCACAAAACAGAAACATATACACAAGAAACATAACATGATACACACAAGATTGACTTAAGCAAGGGATTCAAACACCCACAACCCAGACCCACACAGAAACCAAACATGAGGTTGATACGGATGCGACTGACAAAAACAAGAGTTTGTATTTTTCCATTTTTGGCAATGACCACCATGGAAAAGGTGTTGATACGACTAGGGCTAGTTGCCAACAATAGTGAGGATTAACCCACACTGGTGTGAATTGTGGTTCTACTGGTACAGCTGAATCCAGACTAGGGATTGCACTGGAAATTGGTATAAAAACTGCTCTCTCTCTCTCTCTCCATCCATCCTCATATACACTCATTTCTCTCTCTCTCCATCCATCTATCAGCCCACATCCATCTCTCTCTGTCTACTTATATTTGTGCCCATCCTGTTCCAGGAGTCTCTGAACACCAGAAAAAAATTCCAGCACACTCCTTAACTGTTCTGTGGCTTCTGTTCTTGCTCTCCCCAATGTAACACAACCAGGCAGTGATC